CATGCAATTTACTTAATCGGTCATGTGACTAATTTTGGACATTTTACCTGGCAATACTTTACATTTACATTGTTACCAGATGCTTAAAAGGAAGATTACTATTGTTATTCACCCAAAAAAAAGATTACTATTGTTATTATGGTGGTTCATATTGTTATTTATTGAAATAAATGAAAAAACCAATTTGAACCTAGACAGAGTAATCTGATTATCACATTGTCTGAGCTTGAGGGATCATTTATCAATTCACTTTTTGCAGGTGGTTCATGTTGTAAAATCAGATTCCAGACTCGCAAATAATGATCTACCTGTTGATATCCAAAGGTTGAGATGTCGTGCTCTGTGTTATTCAAAGCGGACCTCAACCTGCTACACTTGAGGGCAGCATTTCACGAGCATATCGGTGATGTTATGGGTGCCTTGCGAGACTATCGAGTTGCTGTCTCTGTTGACCCAAACCATGAGATGCTGGAACTTCACAGCAGTCAAGAGCCATGAACCCCCAAAACACAAAATAGAATAAAAAAAAAAAAATGGGGTTTTTTTTTATTTAAAATTTTAAATATTGTGTCACCATTGTATATTTTGTGAGCATGTGCAATGCCATGTCCATGTTTATCTTCTTTATAACAAAACAGCTTGGACAGTGATGATGATGTTGATGATGGCTCTAAGGTTCCTTCTGGAGAGTTCGAAGTGGGAAAATTACTGGCCATTTGTTATGGTGACCCAAACAGTGTCAACAAACATGGGCTGTATTTTAAGGTATATAGACTTTAACCAAGAATGACCTATGAATGTCTTCCAATGTGATTGCTTGCTTTCATGGATTTTGTTGCCTCACCAACTTAATTGATCAAAACAGATGCTTATTTTGATGAACAAATTGGTCACCTTTTGTAGTTCAAAAAGTAATAAACACTTAACATCTGAAGGAAAGAAGGAAGAAAACTAGTTCGCATGTCTCCGTTGTCCCTTGTCTGCAACTATGATTGATGTTTTTATTGTCCTGTGTTTTTAAACTTTTATTGGCTTTAAAATTTTTCAGATATCAGGTGGTTGGAGACACACCATGGCACTGACATCTGATGGAAAACTTTACGGTTGGGGTTGGAATAAGGTTGATGACTTAATTCTCCTTTATTTTTTTTAATTGAATGCTACTGCATCTCTATATCATGAAAAAGTTTGCTAGTTTGATAACAAACAGAAGAAGGTATTGCTATCTCCATCAACCAATTCGAACTTTCTTTTTCTTGTACAGTTTGGACAGGTTGGTGTTGGTGACAATGTTAACATGAGACAATAAGGCATAAACTTGGGTTTAACCTGCAATTAATGAGAACCAGCATTGGGGAATGCCTTGCACATAAATGGAAGAAGGACCTTGTTTACTTGATTGTTTAAACTTCGATTGTTGCCTTAAGTTAAGAGGACTCATGAATTAACCCAAAGCATTTTCTAGTATTTGTTAGCCAAAAAACATCCTTAAAATATAGTAGTTTTGCCCAAACACATAAAACACTTGGTCATTATTACTCAGTCTCTTGTTCTTAGTAGCAAGAAGTATGCAAATCAGATGGCACCTGAAACATTGAGTTGCAGTCTCACAAAATGAGACACACATCATTATCAAATGCAACATAATTATCCTTTCGGCCTGATTATTTATCATTGTGGGTATATCATATTCTACCCGGATTGTGTTTATGCCCCGTTTACAACCTGCACGACCTGATTAATCTGTTAGGTCTGAACCGTTTCTTGCTGTATTCTGACTGCAGGGAGTATCTTTTTCCCATGGCTGACATTGTAACTCCAAATTTAAAAGAAGCATCTGCTTTACTTGGTGGTGTTCAATTGGAAACAGTCGACGACATGCGTTCTGCTGCAAAATCTATCCATGACATGGGTCCACGGTTAGTGCTTTGCATTTGAGTTTTTATTCTTTTTGAGTTAGGCTTATCAGAAGCTGACAAACTTTTCCACAATCATTGCCACACTTTTCGTTTACAACTCTAGATACAGCTACAGGTTAGTATGTTTATCCAAGGACTACAATCATTTTTTAAAATGAATTCTTCTAATAGATGTTGTCTGCTTCAGCAAATCCAGAAAACTTAAAGATGGATAGTGATGCATCCTCAATAAGTGAAGCTAGTTCAAATAGTGCACTAGGAGACACTGACGCTGCAAAGTCTTCCCAAGTTTCTAGATGTCAAGAGTATCGGATGACTTTACTAGATTTATACTCTGGATGTGGAGCCATGTCAACTGGTCTCTGCCTTGGAGCATCCGTATCTGGTTTGAAACTGGTTACTGTAAGTCATGAAGTGATTGTAAATGTGATTTTTGTATGCACTCTTCCAATCAAAAGATTATATATGTTTTATTTGTATTTGTTTATTAGCGGTGGGCTGTGGATATAAATTCTAATGCATGCGAAAGTTTAAAGTTGAACCATCCTGAAACTGAGGTAGTATATTTGTTCCTTTTCCTATACTTTTTTTATTAGTAATTTATATATATATTTATCAAGGACAAGTCCAAAATGATTATAGGTGAGAAATGAAGCAGCAGAAGATTTCCTATCTTTGCTTAAGGAGTGGGAAAAGCTTTGTAAAGAATTTCAATTGTTGGGTTCCCATCAATCAGAAGATTCCAATTCTGAACAAAACAGCTTGGACAGTGATGATGATGTTGATGATGGCTCTAAGGTTCCTTCTGGAGAGTTCGAAGTGGGAAAATTACTGGCCATTTGTTATGGTGACCCAAACAGTGTCAACAAACATGGGCTGTATTTTAAGGTATATAGACTTTAACCAAGAATGACCTATGAATGTCTTCCAATGTGATTGCTTGCTTTCATGGATTTTGTTGCCTCACCAACTTAATTGATCAAAACAGATGCTTATTTTGATGAACAAATTGGTCACCTTTTGTAGTTCAAATGTTTTAGATAGGTATTTTAATATTTAACAATTGAAGCTGCAACAGTACCCAATCAGATTTTCAACCATAGACTCATGTCTTGAGTGGTGTTTGATGTACCACGTACTATGATTTTATTTTTGTATCCTATATGACTTTAGCGTCAAAGTTCTAGTGGAATTATTAAATGTGTGCTTAACCTTTTCTAATCTCACAAGAGATTGGATTAGTTTTTTATTGAGACTTGAATCTAGGACCTCTTTTAACTTTTGTTTTGATACCATGTGCCTGTTTGGCAGAGCTTAATTACAGTTTATTTCAGCTTTCAGCTTAATTTAAGTTATTTTGATGTGTTTAGTTTAGCTTATAGCTTATAGCTTATAGTTTTTTAGAAGTCAGAAATCAACTTATTCTTTGAGTGGGGCAGGAGATGCTTTAAGAATAAGCTGGAAATCAGCTTAAACTGAAAGTTATAAGCTATAGGCCCTGTTTGGTAGAGCTGTGGGAAAGTGCTTATAGCTTATGCCTTAACAGCTTATAGCTTATAACTTTCAACTTAAGCTGATTTCCAGCTTATTTTTAAAGCATCTCCTGCCCCACTCAAAGAATAAGTTGATTTCTGACTTCCAAAAAGCTATAAGCTATAAGCTAAACTAAACACATCAAAATAGTTTAAATTAAGCTGAAAGTTGAAATAAGTTGTAATTAAGCTCTGCCAAACAGGCACATAAGCTGTTGAGGCATAAGCTATAAGCACTTTCCCACAGTTCTACCAAACAGGGCCCATGTTATATTAACACTTAAAAAGTTTTTATCTTTTTTTATGGACGATCTATTAAGTATTTAAATCTAAACAAAAAGTAATAAACACTCAACATCTAAAGGAAAGAAGGAAGAAAATTAGTTGGCATGTCCCCGTTGTCCTTTGAAAATAAATTAATCAAATAAAGGGACATGGCACGTGGCATGTTCTATACATACCCCCATCATGTCCTTGTATCCAACACTCCTATGACACTTGTTTTGTAGTGTTGATGCCTCATAGTCTTGTAGTTTGATAGAAATTCATACCAAAAGAACTTGTGTTGGTGTCACATTTGGAACATGAAGTCGCATCAAATGATATCACAACATGTGGCTAATTATTATAAGGCCACACAACATTTGGAAATGGTTCGCTCTTGATAAAATACTTTCATATGCGGTAATTGGGTCTTAAGGGGTATATTGGGTTATTAAAGAGTTAATGAGCCAAAACTGGTATTGAGATACAAGCCCAATTAACATTCGACATTCAGTTCATTATTTGAAGTACCTGACCCATTGATATTTGACGTTCAACATATAACTTTGAATTTGATCCATGATGCCCAACCCACTCACTAATCAGCTTATTTGGGCATTCAAATTATGAGCATGTGACCCAATCAGTCTTTAAAGGCTTATTAAAGCTGTGGTTAATCGAGGCAGTAAATCCCAAAGGCCTTATGTGCCCTTGCCCAAAAGTCCAATCCCATGTGACTTTGGCATACAGGCTCAATGCCCAAAGTGGCTTGGCACATTCGACAAAATAAGCCCAATGCTCAATTTTTCTCTAGTAGTTTCTTAGAAGTGGTATTGGTTAAAGCATATGTGGGTGATTTTTCTCTATGTATGTAGAAAACTCTTCTTTGCAGGGATGGCATTCAATGATTGATAGCTTATTTTTCTTCCAAATTGATAATATATAGGTGCGTTGGAGGGGCTATGGGCCAAGTGAAGACACTTGGGAGCCAATTGATGGTTTAAGGTAGCTAGTCTTACCATTTTTTTGTCTTCCAACTATTTTAGTTTGCCATTCCTGTTGTTTTCCATGAAATATGAAATTTAATTTAATCCTCTTATTTTTTCATCAGTAATTGCACTGACAGTATAAAGGAATTTGTGACAAGAGGGTTTAAATCAAAGATTTTGCCTCTTCCAGTAAGTTTTATTTATTTGAATCTTCTTAATGTGTTTTGAGTGGCTAGTGCCTTTCATTTTTTTGGATGTGAGTGCTTATTGTTTTTCCCTTCCCTTTCTTTTCAGTTGTTTCCTTTCCTCATTAAAATTCCTTTTAATTGTTTTTAGTACTTCGTTCATTGTCTATTTAGGGTGATGCTGATTTTATATGTGGAGGCCCTCCATGTCAAGGGATGAGTGGTTTCAATCGTTTTAGAAATTTTATTGACCCTTTGAAGGATCCAAAGAACTATCAACTTGAGGTGTTTATGAATATTGTTGGATTTTTGAAGCCGAAGTATGTTTTAATGGAGAATGTTGTTGATATATTGAAACTATCTGGAGGAGTTTTGGGTTGTTATGCCGTTGGTCGGTTAGTTTCTATGGACTACCAAGCTCGACTGGGAATACTTGCTGCGGGGTCATTTGGAGTTCCTCAATGTCGGATGCGAGTCTTCCTTTGGGGTGCATATCAAATGGAGGCAAGTGCTTTTCTAACATGAAAATATTGAATAGTTTGATATACAATATTGCTTCCATTTCCTAACAACTTGAGTTTTTGGGACAATCGGTGACTTGACAATTGTATTAGAGCTTAGGTTGGAGGTGGTCTTGGGTCAAGTCTCTTCGATTGCATTTGGTTCCCGATTGCATTATTTCTTTCTTTGCCATATGCATGCATATTTGCATCTTCATGTGCAAGACAGGTTGCACGTGAGGGAGGGTGTTGAATAGCTTGACATCTATTGTTGGGCCCACCAACTTAAGATTTATGGACTATTGGTGGCTTAACAGAAAATGCCAATATTCATTAGATATATGTTGGTAATTGGTTCTTTTCATGTTTCAGAAGTTGCCTCAATATCCTTTACCTACACACGAGTTTGTTGGGAAAGGGGTTTGTCCAGTTGAATTCAAGGTACTAATGATGTTTCTATTTAGTATTTGACGAGGATGTTCTAGATTTTGTGTTATAATTATGCCTCTAAGTGCAGGAAATTGTTGTCTGGTATGAAAAAGGGCAAGCATGCAAGTTGGAAAAGAGTGTTGTACTTTCTGATGCAATATCTGAGTTACCAGCGGTAGATGTTTTATTTAAATTGTTTTTGATTATATGTTGTGATAAATCTTGAATAGTATGTATTCCACATGCACTTGTCATTGACATGCAGTATCATCTTATTTTAGGTTACTAATTATGATAGTCAAGATGAAATGGTGTATTGTCATGCTCCTTGCACCGATTTTATTCTTGCCTTTCAAATTAATGGCCATGCTTTGTATACTTTTTACCTATGAACTAATAGAAATTTTAGGGCTTCATGAAGTAATCTTGACACTAGAATTTTGGTGGATGGAACTTCTAATGAAAATTCCATTTTTGGCTTACTCAAAAGGGTTCTGCTTTTTCAATTACTTACCTCCTTCATCTCTTCTCCAAAAGATAAGGATCCATGGAATTTTCATTAGAGAAAAGAAGATACAATGGATGGATGAGATTAAAAAAAAAAGAAGTGAAAAAGGGGTGCTTCAAGACAATAAGAAGCTTGTTACCCAACCCATGGAATAAAATAGTGACGTATATTACCCATAGTAAAGACCAAGTTACCAGGTAATAGTGATGTAATTATGAAATGGATGTTATACATGTGCATTATTCTATTTATGTATTTGGTTGTTTCTAGGTAATTAAGAACCAATCTGACCTCATTGATAAAAGACGAGTGTTTTACTTAGACATAAGAGATGACAATCCATTGAATTCCATTGTGTCAAAAGTGAAAATTGTGCAACTTGCGGCAAAAGTATGACCATCACTTACTTCTGGCTACTGATATCTTTGTCTGTTTGTTTTTATTCTTATGATTATTTTTGTCTCTGTTTGTGTGTGTGTGTTTCTAAAACTCTGTTCCTGTTTATTGCTTTCCAAGTTTCTGAAATGTTTTCTCTGTGAAACAGGCTGACTTGGCTGAAAAAGAGAATAATTTTGTCTTCAGACTTGTATTATAATATGGCATATTCATTGCCACACTTTTTGTTTACAACTCTAGATACAGCTACAGGTTAGTATGTTTACCCAAGGACTACAATCATTTTTTAAAATGAATTCTTCTAATAGATGTTGTCTGCTTCAGCAAATCCAGAAAACTTAAAGATGGATAGTGATGCATCCTCAATAAGTGAAGCTAGTTCAAATAGTGCACTAGGAGACAACTGACGCTGCAAAGTCTTCCCAAGTTTCTAGATGTCAAGAGTATCGGATGACTTTACTAGATTTATACTCTGGATGTGGAGCCATGTCAACTGGTCTCTGCCTTGGAGCATCCGTATCTGCTGTTATGATGATGTGAACAGTAACTCGTGAATAGTAAACTGAAAATGGAAAGGAGAAAAAGCAGAAGAAGAAGAATGTAACGCCCTCAAAATTAACCCATTATATATCATTGACATGTATTATTTAAAGAAGACAATTTATTAATTCATTCATCAGAGTATTACCAAATAAAGTATTACATGTAACATCGGATAAAATGCCCTACAGGCTTACATCTTTCCAAGCCAACACTTGGATACAAAAATATGAGTTCTAACTTAACAAAAGAAAAGCCCTAGGCTTGAATGTTTACATGTACTAACCATAGACTCATGTCTTGAGTGGTGTTTGATGTACCACGTACTATGATTTTATTTTGGTATCCTATATGACTTTAGCGTCAAAGTTCTAGTGGAATTATTAAATGTGTGCTTAACTTAACCTTTTCTAATCTCACAAGAGATTGGATTAGTTTTTTATTGAGACTTGAATCTAGGACCTCTTCTAACTTTTGTTTTGATACCATGTTATATTAACACTTAAAAAGTTTTTATCTTTTTTTATGGACGATCTATTAAGTATTTAAATCTAAACAAAAAGTAATAAACACTTAACATCTGAAGGAAAGAAGGAAGAAAACTAGTTCGCATGTCTCCGTTGTCCCTTGAAAATAAATTAATTAAATAAAGGGACACGGCACGTGGCGTGTTCCATACATGTCTTCATCATGTCCTTGTGTCCGACACTCCTATGACACTTGTTTTGTAGTGTTGATGCCTCGTAGTCTTGTAGTTTGATAGAAATTCATACCAAAAAAACTTGTGTTGGTGTCACATTTGGAACAAGAAGACGCATCAAATGATATCACAACATGTGGCTAATTATTATAAGGTCACACAACATTTGGAAATGGTTTGCTCTTGATAAAATACTTACCTATGCGGTAATTGGGTCTTAAGGGGTATATTGGGTTATTAAAGAGTTAATGGGCCAAAACTGGTATTGAGATACAAGCCCAATTAACATTCGACATTCAGTTCATTATTTGAAGTACCTGACCCATTGATATTTGACGTTCAACATATAACTCTGAATTTGATCCATGATGCCCAACCCACTCACTGATCAAGCTTATTTGGGCATTCAAATTATGAGCATGTGACCCAATCAGTCTTTAAAGGCTTACTTAGGGTCCGTTCGGGAAGGGCTTTTCCGGGCTTTTTTGGTTATTTTAGCCACAAAAGACAAAATAGGCTATTTTAGTCACAAAAAACAAAACATCACATCCAACCCATAATCATTACACTCTTCTCTCACAAAAAAAATCAAAAAAGCTAGAAAGCCCTTCCTAAACCAAGCTTTTTAGCCCAGACTAAAATAGCCAAAAAAGCTAAAAAAGCCAAAAAGTAAACCCACTTTCCAAACGGAGGCTAAAGCTATGGTTAATCGAGGCAGTACCCTTAGACAAATCCCAAAGGCCTTATGTGCCCTTGCCCAAAAGTCCAATCCCATGTGACTTTGGCATGCTCAATGCCCAAAGTGGCTTGGCACATTCGACAAAATAAGCCCAATGCTCAATTTTATTTCAGTAATCATTATGTGGTTTGGTGACTTTGACAAATTCAATGGTGTGTACATCACAATGGCAGCCAATAAGTTCCATTTGATCAAAGCCTTGTTTCCCAACTTCAATAGGCAATTAGCTATTGGGTTAATTGCACTTTACTCCCTTGTGGTTTGGTGATTTGAAAATACACAAGCCCCTTTTGGTTTGGAAATCTGCGCATATCTAACCCTACCTTCATGCCACCATCATTACAGTAAAAATTTTCTCTATCCTCCCATTTTCTTCTATATTTCCCTCTCTCCTCTACAGTATCCACTTCATTACTACATATACACCCAGTGACCAAGGCCTTCACTACCTCTTCTACACCCTTCATTATTACAAATACCCCTTTTATTACTACCTATATATATATATATATATATCTACTAGAAGTTGTGCATGCCCATATGGATATGCTTAAATTGGCAGTTTCAGATTTGTGATTGAATCTAACAGTTACAATTGCCCATACTAATGCAAACCTTTATTTCATATAATAGAATTATTATACAGAGTCACTAGAACTTCATATATATGTATCACTCCATCTTCTTCGCATGAGAACTTCACCTAGATAGTGTATATGTGATATATAGGTACTTGGGACCCCCCATTCACCCAGCCCCCTTCTGCATAATTGTGTTAGATGTGTCTTTTCAGCTGATCTTCTTTAATTAGCTCATTGCTGAGGTCTTGAAAGTATATAACTCAATGATTTTTTTCCTTGTGCTGATTACAGGACAGCTTGCTCGGGAACTTTACGAGAACATTAGGAGAGAAGCTTCTTGTCTGAGAATTCAGAGAGATTTTCGAATGCATCTTGCTAGGAAAGCTTATAAAGAATTGTGCTCCTCTGCTGTTTTTATTCAGGCTGGCATGCGTGGAATGGTTGCACGTGATGAGCATCGCTTCAGAAGGCAGATTGCTTTTTATGGAAAGCTTTCATTGTTGTATTCTCTTAGACTACTTGACTACATGAATTGTGCATTTGGATGTATTATTAGGAACTCCAACAATTTCTTTTTACACTAGCTTCTGTTCAACTGAGTTCTTTAAATTTACCATACTATAAGCATTTATAATAATGTTTTTCTTTTGCAGAGCAGTTTGAAAACTGTCTCAGAATCTTTGAATATCTTGATGGGTTTAAAATTAGCACAATTTCAAAAAAAAAAATGAAAAAGGATATCACGGCGTTTTTCAAAATGCCACTTAAACCCTAAATCTAACGGTCATATGTTTTTAAAAAGATATGATGGCGTTTTAAAAACGTCGCTAAATATCACAGTGACGTCATAATACTGTTATTTAGGACATTTGGCGGCGTTTTTAAAAACGCTGCTTATACTAATATCACGACGTTTTTAAAACGTCACAAAGCTATAGCGACGGCCACGTCCTCGACGTTTGGTGCTAAGCGTCGCAAAAAGAATTTGCGGCGTTTTTGACACTTATAGCGGCGTTTTTTAAACGCCACTAAAAATCTGTTTTCCAGCAGTGACCAAGCCTCTCAAAATCCTTGATTTCTTCAAATCCATTAACATTTTGACCCTAGTTCCTTCACCAAAGTTGGAGAACTTGTCAAGGGCTACATTATGTGCGGTGGAGATCGGGTTTCGACACCTTTGGTTTTGGAGCTTTCATCTATTTTCCTTCAAGAAGCTTGAGGTAGGGATTTTTCTTTGAGTTATATATACATTTTTACAAATTATGTTGTTGTTCGGACTCTTTCTTGTGGTGATTGAACTTGGGTTTGGACTCATGAGTGGTGAGTGAATTTAAAAGTGGGTTTCCAAAATGTTTTCTAAAAATCCTTGAGATTTTGAGTTATATTGTTGTAGAGAAGTGTTATCTTGAAATAATTTCATTTAAAATGAAGAGAAGACCCAGTGTATGGAAACCCTAGAATTTGGGAATTTTTAAGAAAAGGTGGTGATGTTATGACATTGATTTTTGACAAATATTATGACCATGTTGATTGAAAAGAACTTCATGGAATATAAGAAATAGTTGGTTTTGAAGTTGTTGTTCAAAATGTGAATATAGTCATGAAATGACTAGATTGTTGAGAATGCATGAAATGTGGAAGTGTTGCTACTCTTGGACAGATATAAATTAATATATGTTTATGTTGTGAAATTGCATTGGAAGGGAAACTGGGAATTGTGACCATAATGGGAAAAATTGTATGGAGGAATTGAAAATGGAAGGATATTGCTATGTATTGTTATATGTTGCATTGACATCCCAATTCATTTGGTTATTATCAGTTTTGAATTGAGAATTTGATAATTTTGTATTTAAAGGAGAAATGTTTGTGAAATGAAATTCCATGGAAGTGTTTTGGGATAAATACGTTGGTAAGTCCGGGTAGGG